GCAGGCTATTTGGAGTAAGTAATGAGGAAAATCAGTTACAATCAGACTGAGGTTGTAGTTTCCACAATCATAAAAGCAATAAGTATGGAAAGTTCAGTTTTCAAGGTGGAAGCCCACTTAATTCTAATGCACCTCTGTATTATAGTACCATCAGGCTGGCTTACACCAACCCTTCCAGCACTCCCACTGTCACAGTTAAGGGAGCTATTAGCGTAGACAGTCTGTATTATGACTGTATACTATCCTTTGTCCTATGGTCGCGTTATTTGTTCCAGAATATTGAGTTTAAAAAGTAGTCGAAGTTGAGGATTGTGCGTGATTAGTTTCTTGTGAGGGGTTCAAGCCAGGGTTTTACCTGGAGAGGGTTTCGGGGGTCAACGCCCCCGCGGCTCGGTTTGAGACCAGGCCTCATGGTGGATCAAGGTCTGATCAATCAGGCTGTAAGTTACTGCTGGCCGCACGCAAGCTGACGTACGAACCACAGCCCGGTTGGTCAGGTACTGACTTTAGGTGCCTGTCCAGTGCCTTCTTGAAGACAGCCAGGGGTCTATTGGTAATCCCCTTTATGTATGCTAGGAGGCAATTAAACAGTCTTGGGCCCCGGACACTTATTGTGTTGTCTCTCATTGTACTCGTGGCACCCCTGCTTTTCATCGGGGGAATGTTGCATCTCCTGCCGAGTCTTTTGCTTTCATATAGAGTGATTTTCGTGTGCAGGTTTGGTATCAATCCCTCCAGGACCTTCCAAGTGTATATTATCATGTATCTCTGTCGCCTGGGTTCGAGGGAATACAGATCAAGGACTTTCAACCGTTCCCAGTAGTTTAGGTGCCTTATGGCACTTATGAGTACCGTGAAAGTTCTTTGTACACTCTCCAGGTCTGCATTGGCTCCAGCCTTGACGGGGGCCGTTAGTGTACAGCAGTATTCCAGCCTAGAGAGCACCAGCGATTTGAAGAGAATCATCATGGGCCTGGCGTCCTTAGTTTTGACGGTTCTCATTAATCGTCCTATCATTTTCCTAGCGGATGAGGTAGATACATTGTTGTGGTCTTTGAAGGTGAGATCCTCTGACAATTATCACTCCCAGGTCCTTCACATTACTTTTCCGCTCTATTGTATGGTTAGAATTTGTGATATACCCTGACACATTTTTAATTTCTTCAAGTTTTCCATATCTGAGTAGTCAAAATTTCTCCTCTTTGAACTTCATATTGTTTTGAGTGACCCATTCGAAGATTTGGTTGATGTCCGCTTGGAGTCTCGCGGTCTCTTCGATGGAGGTCACTGCCATGGTAATCCGGGTGTCACCCGCAAAGGAAGACACGGAGCTATGGCTTACATCTCTGTCTATGTCAGAAATGAGGATGAGAAACAGAATGGGAGCGAGTACTGTGCCTTGTGGAACAGAGCTTTTTACCATGGCTGCCTGGGACTTTGTTTACTATTATTCTTGGTGTTCTATTTGTCAGGAAGTTATAGATCCATATACCAACTTTTCCCGTTATTCCTTTATCCCGCATTTTGTGTGCTATTACACCATGGTCATACTTGTCGAAAGCTTTTACAAAGTCTGTGTATACTACATCTATATTTGGTTTATCCTCTACAGCATCCAGGACCTTGTCATAGTGGTCCAGTGGCTGGGACAGGCAGGAGCGACCTGCTCTAAACCCATGTTGTCCTGAGTTGTGTAACTGATGGGTAAAAAGATTAGTTTCTTGGGAGGGTGGGCATACTGACATCAAACGCTATTGCCAGGGGGGTGGGAAATGTTGTTGCTTCCTAAAATGATACAGTTCATGTAGTCAAAACTTTTTAATGTGTTTGGCTGTTATGTGAATCCATCTTATATGTTCTAGTAATTGATTTGATCACCACGCAACAGCTTCAGTCTTATCACTTCACCGATTTCACATATTCTCTCAACAATACTAGGTATACCTAAATTATTCTTCATATTATTTTGATAGTTATTGGATAGCAAAGAATAAGTCTTAGGGTTTCATTTTGTGTTGTGGTCTGGTGGTAAAAGCTCTCGCTTCACACGGTGATTCTGGGTTCGATTCCCGGCAAGAGTAAAACATTGGGCGTGTTTCTCTACACTGGTTGTCTATGTTCACCCATCAGTAAAATGGGCACCTGGGAGCTAGTTGACTGGTGTGGGTCGCATCCTGGGACAAAACTGACCTAATTTGCTCGAAATGCTCTGCATAACAAGCGGCTTTCTATATAGTAGTATGTCATTGATGTCAGCTATGGTCTTATACGTGTAGTAAATAAAGATATTATTATTATTATTATTATTATTATTATTATTATTATTATTATTATTATTATTATTATTATTAAATAAAACTCGTACATGGTAAGCTATCAGGGATCTTATGTACGCTAAATGCATTATTTTGACAATTCTAATGTTTGTACCATAGTTAGCATTGTACCTTACAACAGTTCTGAGAGCCGTTTGTCTTTGTTGTTTAATTTTATTCACAGCTGTTAGTGTACATAGAACAGTAATATCAGAATATTTACAAGACACACAATCAATAGGGCTCTCATTAACCTTTAATTTTGATGGTCCAATTTTATGGTAACCAATGTATCTGTTGAACACTTTGAACTTTGCTACAGAAATTATAAGGACAAGATTATCACCGGCTGTTTGTATATGATTTGGAGTGGATTGCATCTCACGGAAAGCTTTTGTATGCACAAGAACATTATAAATGACCATTATTTTTAAAGGGGTGGACCGGTAAGCCAGCGGAAGGCCTCGGTCAGATGACCAAAGCTCCAAAGGCGGGTCATCTGACTAATATCCGCGTCAGGAAACACTTGTCCAGTTTCCTGACAAACCTTACCTAACCTAACAAGAACATCATCAACATAGCAAATTGTGATGTAATTGGGGGTATCTGGTATAGATTTAAGTAGGGCATTGATATATATGACGATCTGGAAGTTTCCTTTATAATTAACGCTTAGTTTTGGGCCTTCCAGTATTCATAAAGGGGATTGATTGCAAATAGACCCTTGGCTGTCTACCAGATACTGAGAGATACCTAAAGAGACTGGACAGATGGACTTCTGCGCCAGCCTTCGTCGGGTGTGGACGTCTCTCTCGTCTGAGTATCAGTGACAAATATCCCCCGTTCTCTCTGGGACGCTTGCTCTCATCTATTTTGCCCGCTGGGCACTACAGGAGGGACACCTGTTCATCGGCTTACTTTAGCCAGCTCCATTTTTTTCCGCTCTGCGGATAATTCTTTAACGGTCTTTGATGGGAAGCCGGTTACTGTACTCAGGTGGGAGTGTGGGCGTCCCTCTCTGCTGGGGCTTGGCAAGGGCGTCCACCAGATATAATTACAAAGGAACTTTTTTACCTTTTGTCCCCTCAAGGAAGGTTCCTTGATGTTGGTGAGGGGCTCTTGATTTAGGGAATTGGATCTGTGCTCCAGTTCCCCGAATTAAGCCTGAATGCTTTCCACATCCCCCCCAGGCGCTGTATAATCCTCCGGGTTTAGCGCTTCCCCTTGATTATAATAATAATAATAATAATAATTTTACCTTTTGTATCATCGCCCAGCTTTGGGTAACAAATCTTCCTCGTGCCATCGAGAAGTCGGGCTCGATACGGCTTATGCTGTTAGTGACCCTGATAAGATAAGATAAGATTTCGTTCGGATTTTTAACCCCGGAGGGTTAGCCACCCAGGATAACCCAAGAAAGTCAGTGCGTCATCGAGGACTGTCTAACTTATTTCCATTGGGGTCCTTAATCTTGTCCCCCAGGATGCGACCCACACCAGTCGACTAACACCCAGGTACCTATTTGCTGCTAGGTGAACAGGACAACAGGTGTAAGGAAACGTGTCGAAATGTTTCCACCCGCGGGAATCGAACCCGGGCCCTCCGTGTGTGAAGCGGGAGCTTTAGCCACCAGAACCTGACCAGCCGGGCTGTAGTTCGTACGTTGGATTGCGTGCGACCAGCAGTAACAACCTAATTGATCAGGCTCTGATCCACCGCGAAGCCTGGTTATGGACAGGGCCACGGGGGCGTTGATCCCCGGAACACTCTCCAGTTAACATATTTTTCCCGGACTTCTAAGAGGTACAACTCAATAAGGCCTTGGTAGCCCTTAACAATCCTAACAATAGCAGTAACAACAACAGCAGTAAGGACTTCTACTCCATCTTTCGTTGAGTATGGAAGTCGCGTTCTCGCTTGAACATCGGCAACAAATTTCTCCCATTCTCTCTGGGGTGCTTGTGTTAGTCTTATTTTGTCAGCTTGGTACATTATAGGAGGGATGCCATTCATCGGCTCCATTTTTCCGCTCTGCTTATATTTAGTTAACGGTTTAGGTGGGAAGCCGGTTACTGCACACAGGTGAAGGTGTGGACGTCCTGCTTTTTAGGGGCTCAGTCAAGGAGGTCCACCTGGCGTTTTTGGGAACTTCTTGTTTCTATTTCTATTTAGAAAGGGAACTCCCGTTCCCATTTCTCACATCGCCCAGCTTTGGCCAATATCTCTTCTCCTGGTGGCTAAAGCTCTCACTTCACACGGCGATGTCTGGGTTCGATTCCCAGCGAGGGTAGAAACATTGGGCGAGTTTCTTTACACCAGTTGTCTATGTTCCCCATCAGTAAAATGAGTACCTGGGTGTTAGTGGACATATATGGGTCACATCCTGGGACAAAACTGACCTAATTTGCGGGAAATGCTCTGTATACCAAGCGGCTTTCTATATATTAGTATATCATTAATATCAACTAGGACTGTATACCTTGTACATCTACTTGCTTAGCGCTTCTTTTTGATTATAATAATAATAATATACATGTACTTGTAGAAATTGCTTAGTTAATCTTAAGTTAATTTTAAGCCTGCCCGTAATGCTATGCATTCAAGTGGCTTTGGCATGCTGCATTTAACTGCATTCTTTTGTACTTCTCTATATCATGTTCAAATAAATAAATAAATAAATAAATATTTTTAATACATCGGGAAACGGCTCTGTACGGCTTAATCTGTCAGTAGTCCTTAAAACCCCAAGAAGCAGCAGCTGCAACAACAATGTCATCCACTAAACAACTGGACCCTGCAGTGTGCAAGTAATTTATCCTTATTGTCTCTCAAACAAAACATTGTATACTTAAGGATAGCAGGTTTAAATTTTATTACTTTACTTTATTTTAGTGTAGATTGTTTGGCTTTACCGTACGTAGTCAAAGATGGGAGTGGCATAACAGGATGAGTAAGTTTATTTAGGCACATAATAATAATATCTTTATTTCTACAAGTACATCTACAAGTATACAGGTCTAGCTGACATCAGTGACATACTACTGTATAGAAAGCTGCTTGTTATGTTGATCATTTCGGGCAAATTAGATCAATTTTGTCCCCCAGGATGCGACCCACACCAGTCCACTAACACCCAGGTACCTATTATACTGATGGGTGAACATGGACAGCAGGTGTCTTAAGGAAACACGTCGGAATGTTTCCACCCGTACCGGGGGTCGAACCACGGACCTCAGTGTGTGAACTGAGTGCACTGGCAATCTAGTCGCATGACACCCCACCCATGTAATATTTGTACTTGTATTTAACATATAAAATATTCACACTTTCTTCTGTGCATGGTATGTCTGTAGGACACTCCATTCAAACTAATAAAAGAACATAAGAAAGAAGGAACACTGCAGCAGGCCAGAGCTTAAATTCTATCTGGAGAGATGCAACAGAACACTTGGACACAGTACAAGGAACACGTATCTCTGACATTCCACATGTACTTCTCGACCTTTTCAAAAACTCCATGCAAATAAAATGGAAAAAAATTTGAAGCTCGCTGCCAGAAAATGCCAAAAGTTACCCATCTTCAAATCCTTATTAATGCATATGTTATTAAAAAGCGCCTCGTACGTTATATCCATGAACTGTCTGTAAATTCTTATTGTTTTATTTTGCAGCCTCAATGCAGTCATTCTATAAAATTGAACTAATGTAAATTATATGTATTATTATTATTATAATAAAAAAGAAGCACTAAACCTACACAGGTCATACAGCGTAAATTATATGTGATTTATTTGTAATTGGCCATTTTGTCATTTTTAACCTGTCTTGTACTTGTAGTATATTACACAAGCTAAGTCTAGATTAAATAGCATTAAGACTTATGATTAGTTTGCATGAAATGTTACATAATTATTGTTTTTTTTCTGTGCCTACATGTGCATCAAATTGTGTACATCTACTGTAACTTCTTTGTATGGTTCATAAGAGATCAGATAAAATAATTTTAATAGCTTTTAAAGTGCTAATATATGAATGTAGCCTGGCTGCAAGAGTAGGGCACCTGTTTTAACATTGCCAAATGGAGGATCGAGCCTTCAACACTATGCTGAATGGCCCATGTAAATTTAGCATATCACATAAATATAACAATTTAAAATATAATGCTCCATGGGTGCCTAAGTATAAGTGTTGTGGTAGTCATGTAGTTATCACTGTGATGGAAGTATTGGGGCCTTGGTAGTGTGTAGATGTCTACTCTCCTTAAGCATTAGTGAAAATGTTCTCCTTAGAACAATTGTCCTTGTATGTACTCTGCCTGTTGGGAGCATTAGTGGTGAGCACATCATTAATCTGCTCATATTTTTCACTGATGTATGAAGAAGATAATCACTGATTTGGGTAGGGTATGGGTATTGTGTTTGCCAGGGTTTAGGTAGGGAAGTCCAATTAGGAAATTAAAAACTTCTTCTCATTTCCATTCCTGAATAAAAATCCTGTTCCCTTTTCTCTCATCATCCAGATTTTGATGTTTCCTCCCCAGTCACTGGGAAGCAGGACTTGATATGGGTGTTAAATGTTAGTGGCCTCTCAAACTCCAAGATTGTTGAAGTACACTGTATTATATAAATTTTACAAAATTCTTTGTTGTCACATTAAAAATTTGTAAGAAATTTACTGAGCAACTACTATTGTGTAATAGATTATTAGAGCCCACAGAAACCTGCTTTGTGCAACAAAATACACTTGAGATATAAAAAGTTCATATACCATAAAGCAAATTCAGCAATATAGCACTACAGTACAGTACAGTAATTTAATGAGTGTGGCAGTTGTCAATAGATATGCAGTACCCTGCTGTAATCCCTGGTACTTAATGAGCTCTGTATCTGTGAGTTGTTGTTGTACAGGATGCAGCATTACTGTACTGTATATTATATTACTTGTTATCACCAAGTCCCAGTTGTGGATCCACAGCTCAGGTACACTATTTCAGCTGCTCATGTAAGGTACAACGGTACTTTAGTTACTATACTAACATAATGTGTTCAAATCTCAAAATTTTGTGCTACCCAGTGATGTGCTTGAGAAGCATTTCTTCGTTAACTTTTTAATTACAATCTAATTACATAAACCTTACCTAACTCTACCATGTGCTTTAGGTACTCATGAATTTTTTACATTAATTAAGTCTACATTTTGAGGACTAGTTTCCTTAAATTGACTCTTAAACTTTAAGGGTGAAACATTAAAAAAGTCCTTAACATTTACTTAATGAAATACTGAATCTGTAGTTATAGACCCCCTTCAGTGGAAGTACCTTGATATAGATAAAGAGCTCTTGATTCAAGGTATTGAAGCTACTCTTCTTTTCCTTAGACGAGACGTGATTGCCTCCCATTCTCAAGGCATTGTATAATCCTTAAGAGCTTAATGCTTCCTCATGAATACTGTATTAGGATTTACAGGTAGCACTTGGAGTTATTAACCCGTAAACAGTCCAAACGTATATATACGTTGTTATCGCTAGTGCCCCAAACATATATATACGTTTTATTTGTCATACATTCAACATTGCCATAATAAGCCTGAGTCACCTAGACATGAGAGAATGCGTGTGCACACTCACTGTGTTCCATATTAAAATAATTGGGGATGCCTGGGTACCATATGCTCTTTTTTCCTATTAAAAAAACTATTTTTTTTCTCAAAAAATTTGGGGCACTACGGGAGAGAACGTATATATGTTTGGACTGTTTATGGGTTAATAATGGAAAATGCAATATACAGTGGACCCTGCCTTACGATATTAATCCGTTCATGAGAGCTCATCGTAAGTCAAAATTATCGTTAGTCGAATTAATTTTCCCCATAAGAAATAATGGAAATCAAATTAATCCGTTCCTGACACCCCAAAGTATGAAAAAAAAATTTTTTTTTACCACATGAAATATTAATTTTAATACACACAAACTGAAGAAGACGTGCACAATTACTACTCTACTAAGAATAGAATACATGACACTTACCTTTATTGGATGATTGATGGAATGGGAGGAGGGGAGAGAGTGGAAGTTATTGTTTAGAAGGGGAATCCCCTTCCATTTGGACTTGAGGTAGCAAGTCCTTTTCCAGGGTTACTTCCCTTCTTCTTTTAATGCCACTAGGACCAGCTTGAGAGTCACTGGACCTCTGTTGCACAACAGATCTGTCCATAGAGCTCTGTACCTCCCGTTCCTTTAAGACTTTCCTAAAATGGGCCATAACATTGTCATTGTACAGGTTGCCAACACGGCTTGCAGTAGCTGTGTCAGGGTGATTTTCATCCGTAAAGGTTTGTAGTTCAACCCACTCTGCACACACTTCCTTAATCTTTTTTTTCAATTCCATACTAATTCTTGCCCTTTTTACCACAGGGATGGCACTAGAAGCTTTCTTGGGGTCCATGGTGACTTATTTTGCAGTTACAAGCACTAAAAACACTGGGATAATGTGAAATGTACCGAATGTATGCGTAGATGCGACCGCACTGGCTGGCTTGTAAACACTGGTGCTGAGGCCACACGTGGGATGCGTCCTAGACGAATCATGTAAGGCGAGGCAAAATTTTTGCGTTCAAATGCTTCATATGGCGGATTTAACGTAACGCGATGCGTTCGTAAGGCGGGGGTCTACTGTATATACATCAGACTATATGGTGCATCTGTGAATGTTGATGTATGATAACTTGGATATATAGTACTGTACTGTATACTCATGATATATTAATGAATACGTATGTATAAATGTAACTTTATCCACTATAAATTAAATTATTATTATATTGTATCTGCATGATTTTAAATATTTGCACACTTGCACATTGTATAAGGGCAAACATGCTTGGTAGTTTTCTTGAAACTACAGTAGCTGTACAAACATATCTGTATTAGTCCCTCAGATTAAACTAGATTGCCTTCCATTTCCCAGGCACTGTATAACAGTTACTGGTTTAACATTTCCCCATGAATATAATACAGGTAATAATAATACCATATTATTTATGCACACTCATCTGAGTTTTCTTTGATTTTATCTTAGTTCTTGTTCTTATTACTTTTCCTTTTATATCCATGGGGAAGTGGAATAAGAATCTTTCCTCCGTAAGCCATGCATGTTGTAAAAGTCAACTAAAATGCCAGGAACAAAGGGCTAGTAACCCCTTTTCCTGTAATAATTACTAAAAAGAATAAGAAGAAGAAAATTGTCAAAGTGGGAAGTCTGAATGCACGTGGATGTTGTGCGAATGATAAGAAAGAGATGATTGTGGATGTTATGAATGAGAAGAAGCTGGATGTCCTGGCTTTAAATGAAATGAAGCTGAAGGGGGTGGGTGAGTTTCAGTAGAGAGGAATAAATGGGATTAGGTCAGGGGTTTCTAATAGAGTTAGAGCTAAAGAGGGAGTAGCAATAAGAGGGACTATAAATGTATTAATTCAAGGATTATGTGGAGTAAAATAAAGGTTGGATGTGAGAAGTGGGTTATAGTAAGCGTATATGCACCTGGGAAAGAGAGAAGTATAGAGGAGAGAGAGAGATTTTGGGAAATGTTGAGTGAATGCGTGGGGAGTTTTGAACCAAGTGTGAGAGTACTTGTGGTTGGGGATTTTAATGCTAAAGTGGGTAAAAATGTTGTGGAGGGAGTAGTAGGGAAATTTGGGGTGCCAGGGGTAAATGAAAATGGGGAGCCTTTAATTGAGCTATGTGCAGAAAGAGGTTTGGTAATAAGTAATACATATTTTATGAAAAAGAGGATAAATAAATATACAAGGTATGATATAGCACTTAATGAAAGTATGTAGTTTGTTAGATTATGTATTGGTGGATAAAAGGTTGATGGGTAGGCTCCAGGATGTACACGTTTATAGAGGGGCAACTGATATATCGGATCATTATCTAGTTGTAGCTACAGTTAGAGTAAGAGGTAGATGGGATAAGAGGAAAATGGCAACAACAAGCAAGAGGGAGGTGTAAGTGTATAAACTAAGGGAGGAGGAAGTTCAGGTGAAATATAAGCAACTATTGGCAGAAAGGTGGGCTGGTGCAGGTATGAGTAGTGGGGGGGTTGAAGAGGGTTGGAATAGTTTTAAAAATGCAGTATTAGAATGTGGGGCAGAAGTTTGTGGTTATAGGAGGGTGGGTGCAGGAGGAAAGAGGAGTGATTGGTAGAATGATGAAGTAAAGGGTGTGATAAAAGAGAAAAAGGTAGCCTATGAGAGGTATTTATAAAGCAGAAGTGTTATAAGAAGAGTAGAGTATATGGAAAGTCAGAGAAAGGTGAAGAGAGTGGTGAGAGAGTGCAAAAGGAGAGCGGATGATAGAGTGGGAGATGCACTGCCAAGAAATTTTAATGAAAATAAGAAAAAAATTTGGAGTGAGTTAAACAAGTTAAGAAAGCCTAGGGAACAAATGGATTTGTCAGTTAAAAACAGAGTAGGGAAGTTAGTAGATGGGGAGATGGAGGTATTGGGTAGATGGCGAGAATATTTTGAGGAACTTTTAAATGTCGACGAAGAATGGGAGGTGGTAATTTAATGCACTGGCCAAGGAGGTATACCATCTTTTAGGAGAGAAGATGAGCAGGATGTGAGTGTGGGGGAGGTGTGTGAGGCATTACGTAGAATGAAAGGGGGTAAAGCAGCTGGAACTGATGGGATCATGACAGAAATGTTAAAAGCAGGGGGGGATATAGTGTTGGAGTGGTTGGTACTTTTGTTTAATAAATGTATGAAAGAGGGGTACCTAGGGATTGGCAGAGAGCGTGTATAAAGGGAAGGGGGACAAAAGAGATTGTAAAAATTATAGAGGAATAAGTTTACTTAGTATATATCCAGGAAAAGTGTACGGTAGGGTTATTATTGAAAGAATTAGAGGTAAGACAGAATGTAGAATTGCCGCTGAGCAAGGAGGTTTTAGAGTGGGTAGGGGATGTGTAGATAAAGTGTTTACATTGAAGCATATATGTGAAAAGTATTTAGATAAAGGTAGGGAAGTTTTTATTGCATTTATGGATTTAGAAAAGGCATATGATAGAGTGGATAGGGAAGCAATGTGGCAGATGATGCAAGTATATGGAATAGGTGGTAAGTTACTAAATGCTGTAAAGAGTTTTTATGAGGATAGTGAGGCTCAGGTTAGGGTGTGTAGAAGAGAGGGAGACTACTTCCCGGTAAAAGTAGGTCTTAGATAGGGATGTGTAATGTCACCATGGTTGTTTAATATATTTATAGATGGGGTTGTAAAAGAAGTAAATGCTAGGGTGTTCAGGAAAGGGGTGGGATTAAATTATGGGGAATTAAATACAAAATGGGAAGTTACTTTTTGCTGATGATACTGTGCTTATGGGAGATTCTAAAGAAAAATTGCAAAGGTTAGTGGACGAATTTGGGAGTGTGTGTAAAGGTAGAAAGTTGAAAATGAACATAGAAAAGAGTAAGGTGATGAGAGAATCAAATGATTTAGATAAAGAAAAATTGGATTTGGGAGTTGAAGTGTCAGTGGATGGATTTATGAAGGATGAGGTTAATCAAAGAATTGATGAAGGAAAAAAAGGTGAGTGGTGCATTGATGTATATGTGGAGGAAAAAAATGTTATCTATGGAGGCAAAGAAGGGAATGTATGAAAGTATAGTAGATAGTACCAACACTCTTATATGGGTGTGAAGCTTGGGTTGTAAATACTGCAGCAAGGAGGCAGTTGGAGGCAGTGGAGATGTCCTGTCTAAGGGCAATGTATGGTGTAAATATTATGCAGAAAATTCGGAGTGTGGAAATTAGGAGAAGGTGTGGAGTTAATAAAAGTATTAGTCAGAGGGCTGAAGAGGGTTTGTTGAGGTGGTTTGGTCATTTAGAGAGAATGGATCAAAGTAGAATGACATGGAGAGCATATAAATCTGTAGAAGGAAAGCAGGGTAGGGGTCGTCCTCGAAAAGGTTGGAGGGAGGGGGTAAAGGAGGTGGTGTGGGTGAGGGATTTGGACTTCAAGCAAGCGTGCGTGAGCGTGTTAGATAGGAGTGAATGGAGACAAATGGTATTTGGGACCTGACGAGCTGTTGGAGTGTGAGCAGGGTAATATTTAGTGAAGGGATTCAGGGAAACCGGTTATTTTATATAACCGAACTTGAGTCCTGGAAATGGGAAGTACAATGCCTGCACTCTAAAGGAGGGGTTTGGGATATTGGCAGTTTGGAGGGATACATTGTGTATTTTTATACGTATATACATGTACTTCTAAACTGTTGTATTCTGGGCACCTCTGCAAAAACAGTGATAATGTGTGAGTGAGGTGAAAGTGTTGAATGATGATAAAAGTATTTTCTTTTTGGGGATTTTCTTTCTTTTTGGGTCACCCTGCCTCGGTGGGAGACTGCCGACTTGTTGAAAAAAAAATTAGTTAATTGTCTAATATGTAAAGAACACTTAAGCAAATTTGCTGACTATTTCTTTTTCTGTTCCTTCAAAGTGTTAAAGTGACCTCTGGAGCAGTAGTGTGTTTCGAGGCAGATTATTATGGAGACATAACCATAGGAGCACGTACGGTGATTCATCCAAAAGCCCGTATCATTGCCGAGGCTGGACCCATCATCATTGGGGAAAGTAACCTGATTGAGGAACAAGCCCAAATAATAAATAGGTGAGATGTAAAACATTTCTGTCTCAGGCTATAATTTATTTCTTTATCTCTTGAACTCCTGCAATGCCAGACACATTTATATAGCGCTTAATATGCAGAGAAAGATTAAGTACTTTATTAATCTGAGGGGTTTTCTGTTATATTTTTTGAAGGAAATGGATTTTGTATTGAATTGCTTTATTCAGGTCAAATTCATAGATGTGTCTTTGAATTATTTTTTAATTTTCTAAAAATTTCATTAGTATATTCTCATGCATACTGTAGTGAAAATGAAAATTTATTCGAGAACAACCTAACAGTCAGATTGTATACTTTTTTTATAAGTGGGTTTCATTGTTTTATATCATATAAGGACATAGGTACAGTACATGTATGTTGTCCTTGACAATAATGTTAAAGGTATTATTATTATTATAATCAAAAAGAAGTGCTAGGCCACAAGGATCATACAATTCAGGTTAAAGGTATTATAATACATAATGTAATATAATTAGCTTTAGGATATGTATTCTTAATACATATTGACTGCTACTGTGCAACCCCTATGGGCTCAGCACTTTCCCATGAATATAATAATTAATTTTTTGGGAATGCTATACTGTGTATGTAAACATATGAACTCTAAAAAAAATGCGTCTCAGCTACACATGGCCATAAGTAGCAGTATCTATGTTCCATGTTAAAGATAGTTTTGGGATTAATTACTTTAGTCCATATATAATGCTATCATGCTTTCTTCTGAAATTTATTAGTGATATATCACTACATGTGAGTGATTCATTACAGTATTTTGTATAGTTAATGTGCATTTTAATTTAACTTACAGAATAAGATTTAAAAGTTTTTTGACCCATGAGCCCATCAAAGGAGGTGCCTTGATGCCAGTGAGGAGCTTTTGATACAAGGAACTGGACCTGTCTTACCCTTGAGTTGAACCTTATTGCCTTCCATATCCCAGGCTCTGTGTGGCACCTACAGGTTTAGTGCTTTTCCTTGATTACCTATATGGCAATAATGACCAGACATGTTAGATCATTCAGCATTAAACAATAAAATTACTATAACCCCCCCCCCCTCTTACACTGACACTCATAAGCCAAAACCATTCAGAAAAAAAAAATTATTCACAATAACAAGCACACAATGATAAATACCATTACACCAAGTTAAAGTAAAAAGCATCAGTTAGAAAAGTTAAATTATTCTTGTCAAAAGACTGGTCTAAAAAAAATTTTGAGTGCTCTACAGGTACCAGAATGATTAAAAAAAAACTTTTGCAAAAATGCTGAAGACTTGGGGTCACTATAGCAAAAAAAGTAAGCACATGATTTCTTTGCTCAAATTAGTGTATCTTGCAGATTACCGGAGGGAACAGAGGCTGGTGACCAACTTCCGGTGATGGTTATTGGAAACAACAATGTCTTTGAAGTTGATAGTTACTGTCAGGCTTCAAAAGTAGGCGATAATAATGTGCTTGAAGCAAAAAGTAAGTTACGTATGTTATTGCTTGGAACAAAAAATTTGATGTGTTCTTGTATTTTTGTTAGCTTTTAAAAGTGTGGAACATTTACATAGTAGATATATTAGCTATGGTTGGGATGGGGAGCTAGGTGTTACTCCTGACAGTGACAAGTCCTCCTTTTTAGTGAATGACCAGTTGGTATACTGTGGTATACAGTGTGGCTGTCAGGTTTGTTTCTCTACCTGTCCTCTTCCTCTGGGCTTATTGGACTGTATTAATTTCCTGGGCATTTGGCTATGTATGGGATTTTCAAACTTTCAAGTTGAGAACCTCTGCCAACTCTGGAAATCTCCCCTCAGATCTCTAATTTGAGACAGTATTGCATTATCTTTCAGATCTGCTGCACACTTGGCAATATAGCTATGGTACTGTTTTTGTGCCAAAGGAAGAGGTAGGCCACTTTTTTCCTTAGATTAGTGTGACTAAGAACTAGTAATTTTTCTTCTAAATAGTGGATTTCTCCTTTCATTAAAATTTGGTGACTTTTGCCCTCCAACTTAGAAAAAATTATTGCTAGAGGCAATGATGTCATGTCTAAGAGTAATGTGTGATGTGAATATTATGTAGAGAATTTAGAATGTTGAAACTAAAAGACTGTATGATAATACTAAAAAGGATGCTTCAGAGGTATTGTTAAGATAGTTTGGGAATTTAGAGAGGATGGAGTAAAAAAGGCTGAAGAGAATGTATATATAAATCTGGGGTGGAATGAAGGGTAGGGTTCATCCCAAGAAGGGGGTTGGAGGGAGAGGCTAGAGGAGGTTTTGAGTGGTATGGGCTTGAGCATCCTACATGCTTGTGTGAGCACATTAGAGTGGAGACTAGTGGTTCTATGGATTGATGTGCTGTTGGAGTGTGAGCAAAGTAACATATATGAAGGAATTCAGGGGAAATCATTGAGCCAGACTTGAATCCTGGAGTTGGGATATGTAGTGCTTGCACTGGGTGAGGATGTTTCAGTTCGGAGGATTAGCTGAACGTTGGTGTCAGCACTTCTAGCAAAAGAGTGATTGACTAAATGATGGTAAATGTGTTTACTTTTTCTGGGTTACTCTGCCTTTTAGGAAGAAGACTGATATGTTAAAAATTAATAATGTACAGTAATATGCTGGGTATGTTTTATAACATTAATCACTACAGCAACTACTGGAGTTGGGATGAACAGTAAATTGTTTGTATAGCTCAAACTGGTGATGATGGCTGGGAATCAATAATCAATGGGGGCACATCACAAGCAGTGTTCCACAGGGATCAGTGTTGGGCCCCTTGTTGTTCACAATTTACATAAACGATATAGATGAGGGAATAAATAGCGACATAAGCAAATTTGCTGATGACACCAAAATAGGCTGTCCAATTCATTCTTTTGAGGAAATTAGTGCACTCCAGGATGATTTGAAAAGACTGATGCAGTGGTCGGAGAAGTGGCAGATGCAGTTTAATATAGACAAATGCAAAGTTCTAAATGTTGGACAGGACAATAACCATGCCACTTATAAACTGAATAGTGCAGATGTTAATACTGCTGATTGCAAAAAGGATTTAGGAGTTCTGGTTAGCAGTAATCTGAAACCAAGACAACAGTGCATAAGTGTTTGCAATAAAGCTAACAGAATCCCTGGCTTCATATTAAGAAGTATAAATAATAGAAGTCCTCGGGTTGTTCTTCAACTCTAAATATCCTTGGTTAGGCCTCATTTAGATTATGCTGCACAGTTCTGATCACCATATTATAGAATGGATATAAATACACTGGAAAATGTACAGAGGAGGATGACAAAGCTGATCCCATGTATCAGAAATCTTCCTTATGAGGATAGACTGAGGGCCCTGAATCTGCACTCTCTAGAAAGGCATAGAATTAGGGATGATATGATTGAGGTGTATAAATGGAAAATAGGAATAAATAAAGGGGATGTAAATAGCATGCTGAAAATATCCAGCCAAGACAGGACTCGCAGCAGTGGTTTTAAGTTGGAAAAGTTCAGATTCAGGAAGGACATAGGAAAGCACTGGTTTGGTAATAGAGTTGTGGATGAGTGGAACAAACTTCCGAGTACCGTCATAGAAGCTAAGACCTTGTGTAGTTTTAAAAATAGGTTGGATAAATACATGAGTAGGTGTGAGTTGGACCTGACTAGCTTGTGCTACCAGTTCTGATGCTGTGCTCCTTCCTTAAGTGGAAGTGATCTGACTTGGTGGTCATTGTTCTAGGCCAGGGGGTGGCATGGACCTGCTTCGCATGGGTCAGTAGCCCTGTTGCAGAGTTCCTTCTTTCTTATGTTCTTGTATAAATATTTATGTTTAACATGCTGAATAGCAAAATAGTTCTAGCACTTCAACTTGCCACTCTGCAATCATCTTTCTAGTTGATGCAGTCACTCTGTGTGCTCACCTAATTGTAGTTGCAGGGGTCGGGACTCAGCTCCTGGCCCCGCCTCTTCACTGAACGCTACTAGGTCCTCTCTCTCCTTGCTCCATGAGCTTTATCATACCTCGTCTTAAAGCTATGTATGGTTCCTGCCTTCACTACATCGCTCGCCAGACTGTTCCACTTCCTGACCACTCTATGACTGAAGAACTGCTTCCTAACATCCTGTGACTCATCTGAGTCTTCAACTTCCAAGAGTGACCCCTTGTTTCTGTGTCCCCTCTCTGGAACATCTTGTCTCTGTCCACCTTGTCTATTCCACGCAGTATTTTGTATGTCATTATCATGACTTCCCTATCCCTCCTGTCCTCCAGTGTCGTCAGGCTGATTTCCCTCAACCTTTCTTCATAGGACATTTCCCTTAGCTCTGGAACTAACCTTGCCACAAACCTTTGCACTTTCTCTAATTTCTTAACGTGCTTGAACCAGTGCGGGTTCCAAACTGGTTCTGCATACTCCAGTATGGGCCTGACATACACGGTGTACAATTTCTTGAAAGATTTCTTACTTAGGTATCAGAATGCTAATCTCAGGTTTGCCAGGCACCCATATGCTGCAGCAGTTATCTGGTTGATGTGTGCTTCTGGAGACGTGTTCGGTGTTATACTCACGCCAAGATCTTTCTCCTTGAGCGAGGTTTGCAGTCGTTGGCCACCTAGCCTATACTCTGTTTGCGGTCTTCTTTGCCCTTCTCTGATCTTCATGACTTTTCATTTGGCATGGTTGAATTTGAGAAGTCAGTTGCTGGACCACATGTCCAGCCTGTTCAGGTAGGTCTCTTTGAAGGCCTGCCTGATCCTCATCTGATTTAATTCTCCTCATTAAAACAGGAATAAATAAAGGGGATGTAAATAGCATGCTGAAAATTTCCAGCCAAGACAGGACTCGCAGCAATGGTTTCAAGTTGGAAAAATTCAGATTCAGAAAGGATATAGGAAAGCACTGGTTTGGTAATAGAGTTGTGGATGAGTGGAACAAACTCCCGAGTACAGTTATTCAGGCTAAAACGTTGTGTAGTTTTAAAAATAGGTTAGATAAATACATGAGTGGGTGTGGGTGGGTGTGAGTTGGACCTGACTAGCTTGTGCTGCTGGATCTGGTGCAGTGCTCCATCCTTGAGTGGAGATGATCAGACTGGATGGGTCATTGAGCTAATCTGGGGGGGGGGAGGGTCATTGGCCTAATCCGTGGGGGGGACACATGGACCTGCTCCGCATGGGTCAGTAGGCCTGTTGCAGTGTTCCTTCTTTCTTATGTTCTTATTAACTTCACATCATCTGCAAACAGGGACACCTCTGAGTCTATCCCTTCCATCATGTCATTTACATATACCAAAAATAGCACTGGTCCTAGGACCAACCCCTGTGGGACCCCGCTCGTCACAGGTGCCCACTGTGATACCTCATCACGTACCATGACTCATTGTTGCCTCCCTGTCACGTATTCTCTGATCCATTGAAGTGCCCTTCCCGTTATATGCGCCTGATCCTCTAATTTCTGCACTAATCATTTGTGAGGAACTGTGTTAAAGGCCTTCTTGCAGTCCAAGAAGATGCAATCAGCCCGCCCCTCTCTTGTCTCTTACTTCTGTTACTTTATCATAAAACTCCAGAAGGTTTGTGACACAGGATTTGCCTTCCATGAAACTGTGCTGGTTGTCATTTATACTTTTGTTCCGTTCCAGGTGCTCCACCACTCTCCTCCTGATAATCTTCTCTATGACTTTGCATACTATACACATCAGTGAGACTGGTCTGTAGTTTAGCGCCTCTTTTCTGTCTCCTTTTTTAAAAATGGGAACTACATTTGCTGTCTTCCATACCTCAGGTAGTTGCCCAGTTTCAAGGGATGTGTTGAAGGTTGTGGTTAATGGGACACACAGCATTTCTGCTCCCTCTCTAAGGACCCACGGGGAGATGTTCGGTCCCATTGCCTTCGAGGTATCAAGGTCACTTAGCTTCTTCACCTCCTCCTCAATTGTGTGTATGTCATCCAGCATTTGTTGGTGTATTCCCTGTTGGTGTCCCCTTCTGTCCTGTCTTCCCAGAGTCCTTCCTGTATCCACTATGAGTACAGTATGCTTGAAATATTGGTAAGGAGCGGCTCCTCGCTCATCGACCAATTCGCTTAACGACCTAGTTGTAGGAATGGAACTCGGTTGTTAACTGAGGAGTGCCTATACACACAAACACAACCATACATACACACACACACATATGTGCATATGTATGTGTATATGTATGCATATGCAGATGCATGCAATGCATATTTATGCATGTAAGAATGTATGCACATGTGTATGCATTTTTTGGATAAATGTATGTATGTATATACATTCTCCATGGGAAAATGGAACAGAATTCTTCCTTCGTAAACCATGTGTGTCGTAAGAGGCGACTAAAATGCCAGGAGCAAGGAGCTAGTAACTCCTTCTCCTATATATGTTACTAAATTTAAAAGGAGAAACTTTCATTTTTTCTTTTGGCCCACACTGCCTCAGTGGGCCATTTTGTTGAAAGAAGAAGGATGTATATACATATACAGATGCATGTTTATTCATATGTATATGCATACATATGTTCCTTGATAATGTGAGAAGTCACAAAAGTGCTTGGAGTTTTGCAATTTTTTCACAGTGGTTGTTTTGCATATTGTGATATCACCTGTTTACTGTGATCTTATTGCATTCATGTGTATATATATGTCCATCACCACTACCAGTATCACCATCGCTATCACCACCACTATTTATTTATTTATTTTAAGTCTTTGCAAACAGTACATCGAGATTTTTGTATTTACAATAGTGGGTTGCAATACAAAGAGAGCCTCTATTATGCCTAGGTATTATGGGCCAACTTAACATTATTGGCTTACAGTCTACTTAACACTAAGAATTATATCATAGTTGTACAGTAGGATAGTAATTATTTCATAATTGTACAGTAGATTATTAATTATAAGTGAATCTAATTTGTATAAGACATATATTCATATATTCAAAAATGGTTTTTGTGAAAACAATGATTCAATTATATTCCTGTCAACAATGGATAAAAGGTTCAAAGTGATTGTTGAAGTTATGATGTGGGAGTACATAAGTGAGTATGTGTGTACTGAGTATTTAGCATTTAGTCTAGGGTGATTAAGTGGCTTTTGAGAAGAGTCTTAAATTGATTTTCAGACTGGGTTACTTTAATATCTTCTGGTAATGAATTCCATATTTTGGGGCCCTTTATGTGCACTGAGTTTTTACACAGTGTGATATGGACACGAGGTATATCAAAAAGAGATCTGTGTCTTGTGTTGTGGTCATGTGTCCTATTACAACCATTCTCACCACTGTCATGTTCTTGTGTATATATGTGAATCTGTAACCAATAACAATATTAGTTACTCAGCAATACCTGAAATTGTGAAGCCAATCAAAAGAGAATCTTTAAAACAATTTCATGGAAATCAGTTTCAGGAATGGTCAGTTTAAATTTGGACAGATAACACCTGCACATGTCAATTGCTCTATGAACCTTCATTTAGTAATAGTTGACCAAGGCTTGAAATTTGAAGCCGTTTGAATAAAGCATTCTGAAGTTAGAAACAAAAGCCTTTAAAGTAGATGAGAAACTTGAAATGGATGGACAGTTCTGGCATTATATCTTGCAGTATTTAAGTGTTCACTCAACTTAGGAAATTTTAAAGTGCTGTAAAAATTCCAGTTTTCAATATATTTTTTTTTAATTAGTTTTAAAAATTTCTACAACCTCTTAAAAAACACAATCATTTTTTCTTAAGATAATCCACTTTGATAAAGTTTCAGAGATACAAAGTTTAAACATTTTTAATTGCAATTGCAAATTTGCACACACACAAATCACTGTGAACTGAATGAATGGATACTACCTTGGTTGTATGATGCCTCAGCCATTAAATATTGGAGCCATTTAGAATAGGAAAACATATTTTGATTGTTGTGACTAAATGAGAATCAAAAGTTGACATAATCCAATCACAAAATGGTTAAATCTGTACCTATTTACTCTGCCATTATCAAATTAGTGGGCACTTTTTTTTTTTTTTTTTAACACTTGAAACTATCACTGAGGGTTTTGGAAGTTATCCAAAAAATTCTAAGATGCTAGGAATGGATTTGATAACTTTGGTCATAGGGCACCTATACATGCCAGTTGATCCTAAAATCTGGTCCTTATTACATAAGTTGTGTCAGAATTTTAATCTGATTGGATGAGGGGTTCTCAAGATATGAGTGGGATAAAATAAAAGGGAAGGAAGGGGGAAAAAAAATCAGGCAACCACTTAACCCTTTCGGGGTTTCAGCCGTATTAGTATGGTTTACGCGCCAGGGTTTTTGACGTACTAGTACGCATAAATTCTAGTGCCCTCAAATCTAGCAAGAGAAAGCTGGTAGGCCTACATATGAAAGAATGGGTCTGTGGTCAGTGTGCGCAGTATAAAAAAAAATCCTGCAGCACACAGTGCGTAATGAGAAAAAAAAAACTTTGACAGTGTTTTTGGTTTAAAACAGCGACTTTGCACTGTATTTTCATATGGTATTTATGGCTGTATTCTAGTTTTCCTGGTCTTATTTTATAGAATGGAAGACATATTACAGAAATTGAGATGATTTTGATTGGTTTCACAATGAAAAGTAACTTGAAATTGAGCTCAAAGTAGCAGAAATGTTCAATTTTTGCCAAAGTTCAAAAGTAAACAAATCATGCCACGCGTCCAATACACGTCAGCTGGTGAATCTAATATTCTTTCACAAGTGCGCTGGTATTATACCATTTCTACACTAATACAGTAGTCTGCATAACAGTAAATCTTCTATTTTTTGTGAGAATAAAAATTCAAAGTGGAAAGCGAAAGAAATGTAAGAGGGGCATGGGGATGTGACTAATGAACAGAGGAAATGTTATTTTAGTGCCAGGAATGTCTTTCTTGTTTATTCTGGACCCTATTTGGAAATTGGCATCTTTTGAAATTTGTGTGAAATTGGCAAAATTGCTAAATTCTGACCACTTTATTGGATAGTTGAAATCGGTAAATGGGTGGTTTCTTGTACTCATTCAATAGAAAAAACGGAGTTCTAGCAAAATAGTTATGATTTTTGTCGACCAGTACACTGGAATTGGCCGAAAATAGGGCTCAAATTGGGCAAAATCGCCGGTGTAAACATCGTCGAGACTGCTAACTTCGCGAGAGCATAATTCCGTAAGTTTTCCATCAAATTTCATACTTTTGGTGTCATTATGATCGGGAAAAGCTTCTGTATCTTTTCATAAGAAAAAATTATTTATTTATTTTTTTTTTTGAAATTTTGGCGACCCTGAGAACAAGTCTCTGAGAGGGTCTGGCGACCCTCAAAGGGTTAAAGGCACCCTTTCAGGAATACCCACTTGGAAATATTTTATGCATTCATGTTTTATCCCTTGATAATTTCTTATGGGACATTCCTTGATGTTAATGAGTTGATCCTAATCAAAGGAATTGGACTTTTTTTTTTTGCCCTGTCCTTGGATTGAATCTGCCTCCTATTCCCCAGGTATTACATGTTCCATATGGGTTTAGCACTTACCTCTAGATGTAATAATTTTTTTTAACACGCTGACTGTCGCCCATTGAGGCAGGGTGACCCCCCCCTCCCCCCCAAGAAAAAAAAAGTATTCACCATCATTTACACCATCACTGTCTTGCTAGAGGCATGCAGGTGCGACGGTTTAGATTTCCTTCTAAACAGCAAATAATACATTAATAATTTGGACTTGAGTCCTGGACTCTGAAGGAAGGGTGGGGGATGCCACAGTCGGAGGGGAACTCTGATTGTGATGTCAACATACTTCTGGCAACTGTTAACATGAAAAATATTAACAGATCACATGTTGACCGACAGTCTACTGTATAATATAGTATGTACTGTACATTAAACCCAGTTTGATCCCTTCCTTATTTACGTATCACACACTTAACCCTTTGACTGTTGCAAGCCCCTTTCTGAAATTGTCATTCTACGTAGCAAAATGTTTGTAAAAAAAAATTATTTTTTCTTGTAAAATGATAGAGAATCTTTTCCCGGTGATAATGACATCAAAAGTACGAAATTTGGTCAAAAACTCACGGAATTATGCTCCTGCGAAGTTAGCGGTCTCGGCGACATATATGCATCGGCGATTTCTCCAACTTTGAGCCCTGTTTTTGGCCAATTCCGTTGTGCCAGTTGACCAAACTCATAGCTATTTCTTTAGAACTCCATTTTTTCTATCAATTGAGTACAAGAAACCGCCTATTTACCGATTTGAACTACCCAATAAAGTGGTCAGAAATTGGCAATTTGGCCAATTTCACACAAATTAAAAAAGATGCCAATTTCAAAATAGGGTCCAGAATAAATAATGTAGACATTCATGGCACTAAAATAACATATCCTCTGTTCATTAGTCACGTCTCTAGGCCCCTCTTATATTACTATTGCTTTCTATTTTGATTTTTTATTCATACAAAAAATACAAAATTTACTGTTATGCAGACTACTGCATTATTGTAAAAATGGTATAAATAATATCAGTGCACTAGTGAAAGAATATTAGACTCCCCAGTTGGTGTGTATTGGACGTGTGGTGTGATTTGCTTACTCTTGAACATTGGTAAAAATCGAACATTTCCACTACTTTGAGCTCAATTTCAAGGTCTTTTTCATTGTGAAACTAATCAAAATCATCCCTATTTCTGCAATATGTTTTTCCATTTTATCACGTGAGACCATGAAAACAACAATACAATGATAAATACTATATGAAAATACACCTCAAAGTTGGCGTTTTAATCCAAAAAAATGGCCTTTTTTTTTTCTCTCGTTATGCACTGAGTGCTGCAGGATTTTTTTTATGTGGTGCACACTGACCACACAGACCCATTCTTTCACATGTGGACCTACCAGCTTTCTCCTGCTTGATTTGAAGCCGCTAGAATTATTGAATACATATATGTCCGAAACACTGGCTCATAAGACGTATATATTTTTTTTTTTTTCAACAAACCGGCCGTATCCCACCAAGGCAGGGTGGGATATATACGACCAAAACACAAAATGATAAAAAATTTATACCATCGATTACAGGTTTGGAGCACTCCATAAGACAAAACGAAATATAAATAAAGTTTATTTTAGTCTGCTGATAAATATTGACCTGAAACTTACAGGTCATGTTGGCCCAGGTGTAGAACTGACTCGTGGATGTGTTGTGGGCTCCTTATGTTCTCTAGTATGTCCACAAGTTGTACAAGAAAACACTGTAATCTATGGAGATGAACTCCATCACAGAACTCAGTCTGAGAAGCCAGCAGTAAGTATTCGTTCACAAATATTGACCTGGGCTGGTACTTAAATATTCACCAAAGAATTTCTCCAGGGAGGTTCTTTGATGTCACGAAGGGCTTTTAATCCAGGGAATTGGACCTTCCCTTCCCTTTCTTGGATTGAACCCAATTGCCTTCCATTAGCCAGGTGCTGTTTGAATGTGCCCTTACCCCATCCATAAATATACTGTAATATCAAAGAATCACAAGATTAAACAGCTAAGTGAGCTTACTTTGTCGTATTACTGTCGTATTACTGTGTATTACTTAATTTTAGTAAAAATATCAGTAGTCGTTTTAACACTTTTTTCTTTTCTTATAGCCACAAGGACTCCAGCTGGATTTCCTGACGAAAATTTTGCCAAATTATCACTACCTTATTAAGCCTAAGAAAAAAGTGGCAGCTTAATATATAAAATATCAACATTTATGTATGTATTCCAAATCTTTGATACAGTATGCACATTGTAGCTTGCTTACAGGTCTGTGTTAAATTTACTAGTTAATATTACTACAAATATTTTCACTGTTTGTGGACATTTTTTGTCATTTAGTGGATGATCTAAAAGGGTTGTAGAATATGGTTTTCTTTATTATTTTAAATATGTTTTATTTATTGCAGAAAAATTTGTAAATAAATTCGCAGTGTTTATTCATGGGTAAGCACTGTTAAGTTTGCATTAGGTTTTCTTGTATGTGAAGATATGCAAATCTAATGGTTGCTCCCTTAATTATATACATGTTATGGTGCTGTACTGTTTCGCTGAAGTCATACCATGTTTTAATAAAATATTGATTTTGAGTTCAAAATATTTTATTAACTTTCTGTTAATTCTCTGTTGACTTTATGCATCATTTAAGTAGGGATGGGACGATAGCAAATTTTTTACAGGTTCTTAATTGTAGGTCGATATGAATACCATCAGAATTAGCAAATACCCACCAATACTCAATACTTTGCCATACCCTTAATTTTAATGAAAAAAAAATTCAAGAAATTAAATACCTATATATTAGCATATATTTAGGGTTATAGCTTATCTGTACAAATGTGAAGAGTGTTTTATTTTTCTTTGGGGTTAACACTTCAACTGATTATAATACATGGTGGGCATCATATATAGTGTTATAATTATCATTGCACATGCACCCACCCAACCCTCTTACATTTGCCCACCCACCCTCTCTTTCACTTGCCCACACCTACCCCCTTATACCCACTACCCACACCTACTCATATTTCTGAAAGTCACCCTTTCATACTCATCCACCTCCCTCACACTCCCTCCATCTTCGACACCCACCCACCCTCTCTTGCCCATTCTCACACCTTCCCTATACCATTTTACAGGTCAGTGTTCTGTGTCCAGTAGTAGTAGTCACTGTGACCTGGTGGCTAAAGCTCTAGCTTCACACGGCTAGGGCCCGGGTTCACTTCCCAGTGAGGGTAGAAACACTGGGCATGTTTCCTTACACCAGTTGTCTTTGTTCCCCATCAGTAAAATGGGTACCTGGGTGTTAGTGGACTGGTGTGGGTTGCATCCTGGGCCAAAACTGACTTAATTTGCCCAAAATGCTCTGCATAACACACGGCTTTCTATATAGCAGTATGTCACTGATGTCAGCTAGGTCTGTATACCTTGTACATGTGCTTGTAGAAATAAAGGTATTATTATTAGTGTAGTACATTATTTTGGCCCTTTACCTTTGGTGTGTGAAGTGACATGTATCAAACTTGAGTCCTGGAGGTGGGAAGTACAGTGCTTGCACTCTGAAGATGTGGAAATATTGCAGTTTGGAGGGGCATCTGAGCTATAATGCTGGCACATCTCTGGTAAGACAGTGATAACAAGTGATGGTGAGTTTTTTTTTTGTGTGGGGGGGGGATCACTCTACTTCGGTGGGAGATGGCTGATGTGTTAATAAAATATTATAAATTATCACAAAATGCACTCAACCTCTGAAAGATTACAAAAATTTTAATATTAACAGAAGTATTAGTTTTCAAGCAGTCAAAATATTAGTCATGGAAGGGAACAATCCTAAACCCATAAGGGTCATAATCCCTGGAAGGAATGGGAGGCAATAATTTTATATTTTAATCCAAGGGGCTATGGAGGCATTGACCCCTGGAAGCATCCTTCAGGTGAGGGGAGGTCAGAAACAATTCCTCGGATCAGTAGCCCCTCATCAGCATTAAGGAACCTTCCTTGATAGTAGCTAATATAAAATGGATGATAGTGATAACCATATGACTGATTTACAATGTTTTATCCTTTTATGTATTTCATTAAAACTGTCTCCTTTGAAACCACAAAAAATTAAAATTTATCTTTATTCCTCTAGTGTATGACCCATAGGGCTTTGGCTCTTGTTTTCAAATATGATGATAATTCCTCTGCTAAGGAAGTATTGCAATGGTGAATTATAATAATAATCATAACTAAGCGCTAAACCCTTACAATGACGAATCAAATAAAATTCACTTCCTATTAATTTCACAGTAAAGTAAAACATTTATTTACGAATCTATATTTAATCCTTTAACCAGGCACTTGGGTAGCTGTCATATCCCTATGGTCAGCATTTCTTTATTTTTTCCTAAGTATAACAGAGCATTCAAAACTAAATATGAAAAGGCCAGTATAAAATAATGGCACATTATCTTTACATGGTGTGATGAAGATAGCTGGTTTAAGTAATCTCAGAAAATCCATTTAGATTGAACATGATTACCTCCCACAGCCTCTAAGTGACTCTTATCAGTTTATTGCTTCTCCTTAACCCTTTCAGGGTTTCGGCTGTACTAGTACAGCTTACGCGCCAGGGTTTTTGACGTACTAGTACGCATAAATTCTAGCGCCTTCAAATCTCGCAGGAAAAGGCTAGTAGGCCTAGATGTGAGAGAATCGGTGTGCACGGTAGAAAAAAAATCTGGGACCCAGTGGCGCATTGTGGGAATGCTATTTTAGTAGACCTTGTTCACCATGCCTCGCGGTAAGAAGTTCCTCACTCCTCGGCGAATTGGGACACTTTTGTTCCCCAGTGACAGTTTTAATACAGATGGAAGTGCCAGTGAAGATGAGTTTCAAGGTTTTGGTGAGGTTGTGACCGAAACTAATGACCATAATATCGGTAATAGTGAGGAAACCCAGACGACACTCGGCTTTCCACCTCTGTTGCTGGGCTGTCTTGTTCACGTTCAGTTGTACCAGAATCAAGGAGGAAACTCCTATTTTCCCAAATCCCAGACTCAGATGTGATCATTGGTGATGATAGTGAATATGAACTACAAGCTCTTGAAAACAGTTCCAGTAGTGATAGTGAAGTGGAATATTCTCCAGTGAAGCGTCAGTATATGTGACGATATATGCGCTCTGGTAGTGTGCCATATGCTATTCCAAGGGAAAGGAGTATATCTCGGAGTACATCCCGTGGCTGTACAACAGGAACAGACAGTGAAAATGACAATGATAGTGTTGCAATTGGGATGGAATATGTGCATGGTGGTGGCAGTGGTGGTGCCAGCCATGAGGCACCAGCAGTGGGCCATGCTGCCACCTACGCTGCTGCCTCAGCTGATCTACAACAAAGGCCACCATCCCCCACCCACCCACCACACCAGCCTCCACAACCACAACCTCCACAACCACAACCACCTGTCAATGTGCAGTACCCACCAGCAGACCGCACCTGGGATTGGCAGGAAGCTGTCAATTTTGTTCCAAATCCCCACTAGTTTGATGAAAGCCAAAGTGGAATACAGCCATGTTGTACACTGGGGAACAATGCCACTGAACTAGAATGTTTTGAGTTATTCTTTGACGAACCCCTGATGGAAATTATTGTCAGGGAAAGCAACAGATACTACGAGTACACCATGGCAAACACAATACTTTCACCAAGCTCACTGCTACACAAGTGGAAGGAGACAACTGTGGCTGAGATGTATCTTTTCTTTGCCACAATAATACTTATGCCACATGTGTATAAGCAGTGTGAAATTATACTGGTCAACAGACTGCCTGATTGCAACCCCAAGTTTCAGTGATATAATAGGAGTGAATCGATTTGTGCTACTATTACGTATGCTTCAGACAAAACCAGGCTTGACAGAAACAACAGGTTATATAAGATTAGGAATGTGTTTGTGTATCTGAAAGAGAAATTCAATATGTATTTTTATCCCTTCAGGAAGCTTGTAATTGACGAGTCTTTGATTCTGTTCAAAGGAAGACTCTTTTTCAAGTAGTACATACGAAGCAAGAGGAAACGCTTTGGTATAAAGTTGTTTGTGCTTTGTGATTGTTACAGTGGTCTGGTATTGGATATTACTGTGTACACTGGAAGTTATACATTGCAAAATACCAGGAAGTTATTGGGCATCTCTGCTGATGTGGTTAGAACAATGATAGAACCATACCTTGGTAAGGGGCATATTTTATATACTGACAAACTGGTACACAAGCCCCTCACTCAGCGATTTTTTGCAAGTGAACATGACAGATGTGTGTGGCACAGTGCATGCAAATCGTAAACATATGCCCAGGTTTGACACCGGCACTCGTAGAGGTGAGGTGCAGGCGTTTGCTGCCAATGACATCATGGCATTTCGGTGGCATGACAAACGAGATGTCACACTGTTGTCATCAGTTCACCCTAACGAAATGACAAACACTGGTAGGCAGCATAGAGAAAGCAATGAACCCATTCTAAAACCTGCAGCTGTGATTGATTACACCCTCAATATGCGCTCAGTGGACAAATGTGACATGCAGGTTGGGTTTGCTGATTGCGTTCGCAAGAGTTATAAGTGGTACATAAAACTCTTTTTCCAACTTTCTGGACATTTCCATGCTCAATGCTTATAATATGTACAAGATGAGGACCAGAAACAAACCACCATATGGCGAATTCTGTTTGTCTGTCATCAGACAAATAGTATTCAAGTACCAAGGAACAACACCTGCAATAGACCGCCCACTAAATTATCAACAACTACCTTCTCGTCTGAAGCATGGTGATCACTTCCTAGTAAAACTGCCTGCTACTGCTTTCAAGAAAAAGGCTCAGAAGAGGTGTTATGTCTGTGCACATACAAAAAAACGCCCACAACAACGCAGAGACACTCGTTTTATGTGTGAGTAGTGTAAAACACCACTGCATGACATGTTTCAAAGACTTCCACAGGCTGCAGAACTTCTAGAAACATGTCCTGTGACTGTATATGTGTATATAAAATATAGAAAAATAGTAATAAACAACATTTCATATCATTTGTTTGTGTAAATATTGTCTGTAAACAAAACAGTGACAATAGTGTTTATGCAGTTATTGTGTAGTATAGAAAAAGAAATAACTTACAAAATAGTGCTCATATTGGTCTCACAGGCCATAAAAGTTACTTGGAAAAAAAATTAAAAAATAATAGAAAATAGTACATAAAAAACTAAATAAAGTAATACCAGGTGACGGCAGTCGGCGATGTTACCATATATCGGGCATTTTCTGTCAACTTCACGCCTCCATATCTCGGTAAGTATTGATAGTAAAACTTTTTTGTTTAGCCTATAATGTTTAGAAAAAAATAAACTATCTTTTCATAAGAAAAAATAATTTTTTTTTTTTTAAATTTTGGCGACCGAGAACAAGTCTCTGAGACGGCCTAGGGACCCTGAAAGGGTTAAATATTTAAATTTATATGACCTGTACCTATATGCTGACCCAAGGAATTAAACTTCCTTTCCTTGGATTGAATCTGCCTCCCATTCCCCAGATGCTGTATGACCCATGAGGGTTCCT